GGGATCCTCATCACATTACAGGTTTTTACGGGGAGGGAGGCACTCGCACACAGACAGGCAAGAAGCACAATTACGGCACAAAGAAAAGCAACCAACCAAAGAACCAGTGATGACATCGGGCATGATTCTGGCTGCAAAGAGAACCGACTGACAGACAGAGACAGAAGCACACCGATCCAAACAGGTGGCGTCCCAGACCAGGCCCTACAGAATTCACCCAAAATGCTGAATCACACAGCGTCCTGAATCCAGGTCTGCGCCACAGCCTGAATTAGGCAGGCTGCTCATTAACGGAACGGAATCCACAAAGAATGCTCAGGCACCCCCCTGCCTTCAGACGCATCGTCACGTAGAACACAAACTCAATTCCAGTTTAATAAGAACCTCTAGTTCAAAAAAAACTTTCAAATGAAATAATTTTTAAATGTCCACAATCAGGGGTATTGTAAACCAAAAAAAAATATCACATTAACCCTGACCTGTATGAGTGAAGCATGCCTTCCACTATGGAGTCACAATTTGAATGGCGCCGTTTATAGAATCAGCAACATGCTAAAGAGCCGCCGGAGGAACTAAATGCGAGAGAGGGTCGTCACAGCGAGATACGGGAGCAGGGACAAAGCGCGGGGCTCCGGCGAGCCAGAGATGTCAGCCGTGCCAGCTGGTGGGGGCAGCAGCGCCGAATCAGGGCCGGCGGGAAACCGTCTGTGGGTCTGGACCTCGACCAGAGGCAGATAAGCGGCTTGGCGGATCATTATCCGGCACAGGGCCGAGCTGAGGCGGGCCACGACCGCACGAGGGCCCTTTCCACTTGGGGAGGGATGCCTTATCGTGGTCTGGCCTCCTGGGGGGTGGGTCACTGGCTTACCAGCTTTGCAGAACGTTACCCTGTGCATCACTCCAGGAAACACACACACACACACACACACACACACCACTCCCCAGCTGTGTAAGGACCATGCCTGCAGCACAGTAAATGAAGAAGGATCCACAGAGACATCAGAAGCGGGACATCTCCATACCCCGCAAACGGCAGCTTCTGTGAAGGGTATTGCTGCTTAGACTCTTAGAAGGCACCAGTGAGACCGGCACTGGCATTTTGGGACACCTTGTCAGTGCAGTGTTGAACAGCTACATCAAATATTCATTAAAACAACATGTGACAAACATGGCTGTGCATTTAAAGGAACACCACTTAGGTTAGGTGACCCATCAAAGAACGAGGAGTCAGGCATTTTGTCCCCAGTGAACCTTGCTGGCAGGAACACTGGCTGTAAGCTGAAGTCTTGACATCTTCAGTAAGGTTTTATGTCAAATGCAAACTTGGAGCACCTGTAAATCAAATGCAGCAGAGATTCTGAGAATAGTGTTTGATTATATGACTTCTGACACAAACGTCGAGGGTTAACTTCGGACCCCGTACTCTACTATACAGGCTTCAGGAAGGAGAAGATAGCCAGACTTAGTTTGGGCTTTGCTCACAATCAAGAGCCCCTTTGAATAAGCTAATAAAAAGCTCCAGTTCCTCCCAGGGATTCCCCAGGGGAACTGTCGCGGGAGGCGGAGCCCAGCGGCACTGTCGCGGGAGGCGGAGCCCAGCGGCACTGTCGCGGGAGGCGGAGCCCAGCGGCACTGTCGCGGGAGGCGGCACGGGAAAATCGGGAGAGCCGTTAACCACCGCAGGGGCTGTTAGTACGGCAGGGTGTTGACAAGCGAAGACGCCTTGTGGAGATTCTCTCAATCCAAACCACTCTGCCTGCAGGGAAACAGACCGTGGGAATCGTGAAGAGACTGAAAAGGGGGGGGGGGGCATTCAGCAGCCCCGGGCGGAGTATGCAGAGAACACACACGGGGAGCTCGCACACACCACAACACGCCGCAAGGACGACGTCACGGTCCGCATGCAATCATCCACACACCACAGTCCACGTCACAGGAAGGAGGCTGTCTGCTCAGCCAAGACGCACACACTGACTGTCCCAGGGAAGCCCTCACCATGCCGATCAGCTCAGCAGGGGAAGGGAGCCGCAGATATGCTGAGCACGTTGGAATCTGCGTTGTTGCAATCCTTACGGCTCCAGCTCTTACCGGAGAAGGGAAGGTACTCAGCTGAAGACCAAACAGAAAGCAGCGGACAGAGTGCTGGGTTTGACCGCTCACGGGGGACCTGAACACAAATCTTACTGCTCAGGTACAAACCAAGGCGTACAAATGAGTCACAGGGCACAAGAGATGGCACAATGTAGAGGAGCAGAGGCATACTGAGCGTGCGAGGCACACGCAACGCACACAAGCAACGCACACACGCAGAAGACCTGCGTCCAGCCTGCCCCTTCGCCTGCAGTCCGACAGGGCCGAAGTGGGTAAGCGATAGAGGCCCAGTAACCAATACCGCACAGGGACCCAATCCTAGATATGGGGGCTTCAAAGGCAAGAGAACCGACTCCCCTGAGCCCAGTGCTTAAATCAATACGCTGTGTTGCAAGAGGGGATGGAGATACCATCATACAGCACGTGGTGATCGCACACCACGGGCAAACACCAGCTACACACCATACATATCTCAGGGTTAAATTCAATACAGCAAGAAGGCAAAGAACAAATAAAGGTCAGAGAAAAATGTCTCTGATTTGAAACTATACATCAGGAATGAAGCTTTTATGTGCTCAGGCCTTTGCAGGTCAATGTTCAGACCTGAAACTTCAGGCACAATGTTAACACAGAACTATTGACAATTATTCTGAATGACTGTATATATCTGTAGTGAATTCCACTCTGAACAGCTTCCCAGCTTGAAGACAAGTTACACTGGATAAAAGACCGAAGCATACGAGAGAACGACCACAGTACGACTGGTCCTGAGGGATTTACCCATCTACTAATAATCAACATTGAGTAAGGAGTATATCTGCTGTATTTACCAAAAGCTTCCTGTACTCACTTTCTAGTTTGTGTCCACAATTCTCTCCATCCAGCTAAGCATTTGCAGTTTGATATGTATGGATGGTCCTGCAGAAGAAGCATCGCTAAAGCCTTCAACCCAAGGCCCAGGGCCACTAAAGGCCTGGACACAGCAGCTCCTACATCCACCCTGCAGCACTGGGTCGCCCGTCCACAAGTGCTCATGGAAACAGAGAAAGTCACAGACGTGTGGTGCTACATGGCACTTACAGAGCATGTCTCAACAAGGACAAAACTGAAGCCGCACATTTAATGGATTTTAACAAGATGCTACCTGCAGGTATTATAATATTTCGAAGAAATTCCTGAAAAATGATCTCTGAATGGGACGACTGCTTCCTGAAAAGCCTGTTCAAATAATAAGAAAGTCGGATAAGCGTGAAAGGTGGTGAGACGAGACAGCGAGTGTTCCAGCGCAATCAGCCTGAGAAGGAGCCTTGCAAAAGCATGGTCATTTACACAGTTAGCAGACTGAAGTGGCCTCTTACTCCCATGTGCATCTCCGGCTTGTACGCAGATTCATTAAAGGGCTGCTGAAAAATCACTGTGGTACTATGGCAACGGTATGGGAGCACAGTGGTACAGCCAGCCACCCTAGAGGACCAGCCAGCCAGGAGGCCATAGAAAGATCAGGGTGAAACTCAACAGGGCAGACCGACCTGCCATAGCTCTGGGTTAAGTGGAGCTGCCTGGCCTCCACCTCTCCAAGAGAGCTTTTATGTAAAATTCACAGCCAAATGCAGTTTATTCCTGCCTGAGTATTTCAAGGGCCGCAAATAAAAAAAAACTGAGCCCTACGGAGGAGTTAAATGGGCATAGTTTCTCAGCAGTTACCAAAAGGAGATTTATTCTATCGATCGTTCTGATGCGCGGTAGTGCGGCAAGAGAAGACAGCCACGCCACTGCAATGAAGCGGGAGGTGCAGAGAGGCTAAACGTGCGACAATCGTGGCATGGAATTCTCCACAGCAACTACCAGCCGGCCGACCTCATCACAACAGACGCTCCCTCGCAGCGTCCCACTAAACTTCCTTCCGTTACCGCCTTAAAACAAGCAGCGCAGCAAACCCAACAAGCGTGCGTATAACCACAGTGCCTTCATCACGAAAAGTGGTAAAACAACAGGACGAGGCATCCGTACAAACAGAAGTTGCTTCTTTGGGTGAAGTTCTAACAGGGGGGAAATGTGCAGCTATTTATTGAGAATATGAGCCATTTAATTTTGTGCGTCTGTACATAATCATACAATAACTGAAATGCTTCACTGTTGCAGCCGTTTTAGAGGTTTGTTCAGTGATCCGAGGTACGAACCCGGAAGGTGGCTGATAAATCATCAACAGGCAGCACACAGGAGAAAAGAAGCCGACCCCAGGAAAGGCGTTTTCATGTCGCCGAAGGATCGACTGCAGCGCACGTGCGGGCACTCGCGCGGACGGGCTTGCGGCTCCACACCTGCCCCGGGGAGCGCCTCGAGGGCGCAGCGTGGCAGCTACCGAGGCGGCTCGCGCTACTCAGCCGGCATCCACTCCCGCTTCCGTCGCTGCATCGTCTCCAACACTCCGCCCACTCCAAAATTAACCACTAAGTCGTCGCAAAATTGGAGTATAACCAGTTTATGCCAATAAAAATGCAACCGGCATAAAAACAACTTGCATTCTAGCAGGGTGCTACACATGAGTAGAATTAATTTTGCTAGATTGTGGACTTGAGGCAGACTCGCTGAGAAGATAACTAGTGCAGAATAGAAAAATATTGCTAACACAAACTTACATTAACTTGTTTTTCTCACGCTACGTACGTGAGAGGGGACAGTCATACACAAGTCATACACACATTTCTGGCTTCAAATCACCCAACGTCGCCCAGGCAACCAGCCAGATAACCACATATTCTTAAAGGGGCCCTGTCGTCCTATAAAAACCTTCACTTAATGTATCGTTATTCTAAGTTTTTCTTGTGGAACATTACTACAAGTTTATTAAAGTACTTCGAGATAGACCAGAAAAAGTCTGGATGGGGGCCTCCTGTTTAAACACTTACTTGAGCCGGCTCTCCTTGCTTCGCTCGAAGTCACCGGTGACGGACGGTCCGCCACTGGTTCCTCAGCTTCTTTCCCCCGAGTCGTTTAACACCCCCTGGCCTTACTATCGGCAATGTATATATGTAGCTAGCAGTACACTCTCCACTGGGTTTTCGACTAATTCTCACTCTGTTTCTTCAAATAAATTAATAGTACGTCTTCCGACAGCTACACTAGTTACAAAAATGCCAACATGTTCTGTTAAAAACAATAAAATTATGAATCTACGTATTCTGTGAAGCGACGAGAGAGCGGGACGGAAATAACCCTGGCCGATCGCTACTCTCCTCCTCAGCGCTTGTAACACCGACACACTGGGACGATGCAGGCGCGAGCTGATGACGTCAGCCGGCTTGTCGCCGCACTCCTTGCGGCGCGGACTTTAATCATCAAAGCCAGCTGTACAGTGGGCGAACCCCGCCCCTTTCTCAACGGCGCCCTAATATTGCGTCGTTCGATCGACATACCAAGTCGGAGCAGTCTGGTCCTTCCGACTGTGCGCTTGCAGGTTTTCAAAGGAAGTGTTTTAAAGACGTGACGTCCTACTTTAGTCATCAATTATGTCTGTTGTCTGTTTCATTTGAATTGGCGATTTCGATATTAGGAAACTGAGAAGTTGCGTAACAGTCAAGCTGGAATTTAGGAGGTTAATTGAAGTGATTGTTCAACAACCGTAAACTCCCTTTGCAAAAATTCACAGGCAGGAGAGTGATACCATCAGCCGCTCAAGGTTAACTTGAAAAACTGAAAAGCTTTGCACCCCACCGATGTGAAGATAGGGGTTCTTATTAGCGGTGCCAGGCGGGCACAAACAAGCGGTGTGGTGTTTTCTCTGGCACCGTTCCCTAGTGCGTCATGCTCCGTCACCCTGTTTTCTAGAAGCGAGAACTCCGCTGACTCGCCCATCCATCACTTGCAGTGCTGCCGACTTAGCGACTTTTTTTAAGCGACTAGCGACAAATTTAGATACTTTTTGGACAATTCTTAGCTGACAATAGAAACAGAAAAATTGTAAATTACAGCTTTACTGGGGATGCGGCTGTATGAAGTACAGTATATGTGAGCACTGAGAGTAAGAGAGATGGAAACAGGTGTAAAAATCTAACATCTGACACCAGGCAAAATACAAAACATGACGCCACATATATGCTAATTAGCGCATAGCGTCATCTAGTTACATTTAACGACTTTCCGAGTAAATGGACTGCATTTATATAGCGCTTTTCTACTCTTACGAGTACTCAAAGCGCTTTACAATACATGCCTCACATTCACCCATCCACACACACCGGTGGCGGAGGCTGCCATGCAAGGCGCCTACCTGCACACTGGGAGCAATTTGGGGTCCAGTGTCTTGCTCAAGGACACTTTGATGTGGTTAGGAGGAACCAGGGCACGAACCTGCAACCCTCCAGCTTCCGAACGATAGCACTACCTCCTGCGCCACCATCTTTCCTGCTTAGTTACTTTCTACTGAATGTAGTTGGCAACACTGGTTAATTGCCTACAGTACAGTACAATGCCCCCGCCCCCCAAGGCACAGAGCTCAGCAGGAAGCTGGGAAGGTCTGAATACAGAGGCCTCTGTTCAAAGACAGGAAAATGCTTTCCCTGCATACGCATATGTCTGTCACCTGGAGATACCTTTCCAAGATACAGAACTGAGTGTAACAGCTCATTTGCTTACAGCTGTGCATGCATATGTTCAAAGGGTCTGTCTTACCAGTGACCTGCTGCAGCAAAAACTGTGATTTAAAGTGATGGAATGAGCAGATCACTGAGTGCGGTCTTGAAGTTTCCAAACAGCACATAAACATTCACAGCATGCTATTCTGATTAGACTAGGCTTCTTTCCATAGGAGGCTCAGCAGAGCCCAGCCGAGTCTGATCAGCTGGCAATGACTCTGGGCTAACTCTCACTCCGGTCTTTGAATTCACGTTGACAGAAGTGTGTTAGTGCTGGCTGGGTAAGTGCCATCCCTGACTCTGTCAGTCATACGGGAGGTAGGGAGACTTCTCTTTGGATCATACTGGGCCAAGCAGGGTTCCTCGATTAGCTGGATAACTTGTCGAATTTAAGGTACCCCATCTTAAATGGACTTTATCTTTGTTCACCTACATTTAGCCCAGACTAACTTAAATGCAACAAGTTTTGCTTTATTGATTTATTGCTTTAGTGAAATTCTCTTTATGTCTCCCCCAACATGCTCTCTGTTAGTGAGAGCAAGCTGGCTGTGAAGGGCAGCCACCCATAGCAGCACCCAGGGGGCTGGGGGTTAAGGGCCTTTGATCAAGGAACCACAGATGTACCAAGACTGAAGCAGTGACTTTCTGATCACAGGCACAGAGGCTTGGCCCACTGAGCCACATGCTCAGGGTGCTTTGTGGTACACGCCCCATGTGGCAGTCACATCTCGTACTGAATTATGTATCCAAATGACAGATTTTAGTCCCTACCACGAGTGCAGTGCATATCCACTACCATCATTGGTCCCTGCAGCTGTTTATTGATCCCAGTCCACCTGGCCACTGGGATATGCACTGTGATCTTTGCTAATATAGCCCAAGCGATGCCACTCTATGAGCTCTACTAAGTTTCTTGTTTCTTCAAACTGTCACATACACCCTGTGACTGCTTGCAGGGTAACAGCAATATTAGACAAGGATTGGACTATGAACTCCCAATGGATACATTTCCATCATGGTAATCAGTGCAACCAAATACAACAAAGGCCCAATTCAGGGTTGTTCTCTATTTACCTTAACCCTAGAGATGCCATACTGGTGAGATTGTTTCACCTGAAATCTACACCAATGCGAAATACAAAAGGAATATGCATGGTGACCGAGGCCTGAGCCCCTCTGTATACACTCGCCGGTGCATTGCCGTCTGGGGATTTGTTAAAACCTGCCCAAGCCCATCTTTGGAGCCTCACACGCACACAGCCCCACATTGCAGTGCCATGCAAATCCCCCAGTGGCACTGTGCTGCAGTGTTTTACTTATCCATGTGATCCACCCATTTCGTACCATCCTCCGCAGACCGGCAACCGCCTCAATCCGTCACCCAGGAAGCCACAGACAGGAAGGGCTGCTGCTGTTCAGGCTTTACATTTCACACTGACTTTGTCACGTATCTGAGGTGCATTTGAGGGCAGACAAAGGGGGTGCTGTGCAGTGATGGGACATTAGCACAGTGGATGATAATGTAGAGGAACAAGTAATGAAAACATCAAGCAGGGGAATATGCAAGCACTGCTGGGAGACAGGGATAATCAATCAGTCACCTACCCATCCATCCATAGCTGCTTTGCCCAAGCACAGCCTATCCCAGGGAGCACAGGGGAGGCCCTGAGCACGATGCTGCTGTGTCCTAGGGCACCCACCCACCTACACACCCACCCACCCACCTACACACCCACCCACCTACACACCCACCCACATACACACAAGACACAACATGGGTGATTCAGAGACACCAATTCACCATTTTTCTGGACTGCAGGAGGAAACCTGCCCAGCACAGGCAGGATGTACAAATGTCACACAGAGCAGGAGCAGTACTGGAGCCCTGAACCCCAGAGGCGCGGGGCCTCCCTGCCATCCCCCAGGGCACCGTGCCACCCAGAGGACGAAGGGGTACAGTGAACCCCAGAGGCGCGGGACCTCCCTGCCATCTCCCAGGGCACCGTGACACCCAGAGGACGAAGGGGTACAGTGAACCCCAGAGGGGCGGGGCGTCCCTGCCATCTCCCAGGGCACTGTGCCACCCAGAGGAAGGGGTACAGTGAAGCGAAAAGCATTTAGGACAGAGTCCAGGCTGGATTTGGGATTAAACAAAAGTTACCTTACAACGAAGCAGATTCAACACACGCTTTAATCTACAAACAAAAAACATTTCAAAAAATGAATGAGAACCACAAAGTACCGCAGAGGGGGACCCCAGCCTGTCGAAGTCTCCAGCCCACACCAGCGGAGAACAGCTACTTAACTGTGTTACGCCAGCGAATAAAAGCACACAGGCAAGCTGCGGACAGCACAGGCTCAGAAGCATCACAGTGGTTTAGGAAGGTGGGGAGGGGGGGTATACTGATCTACTAAAGAATACAATTTCCACATGGCCATTTACCAAATTAAGGTTCAGGATCCAGTCAGTCAAAACTGAACAGACATCAAAATTCAAAACAGCATCCATGAGACTTTAGCAGAGCAAGATAACTGACATGTGGCAAAGCGTTATGGAGTGGGAACATGTGCTTTAAAGTTCCATCCATCCATGTGCTTTAAGGTTACGTTTAGGAAATCCCTTAAACCTGGACATCATAAATATGAAGGGGTGCATTTTATAACAGGAAAAACAAAAACATCAGAAGAATTTATTTATGAAAAATATCAGCACATTGAAACAATGAAATGGTTTGGGTATCATTACAATTCAGCAGAGTCTTCTCTGCTATGACAAAGGCTTATGTAATGCAAAAAAATAAACATTTATTTTTAATTGAAGTCACAGTAATCAAAGGCATAAATAAGATCAGAGGAAGTCCTGCAGCCATGTTACTCCTCAGAACACCGTGCTTCCCTGATGCCGGTTACCACGGCAAACTGCAGATCTGATTGGCCACGGTGCGGCTGCTTCAACAAGGAATCCTGTGGAGGTCATACCGTCTGGCTGCTGCTCTTGGGGAGAGCTCAGTCGTGCGCCTCGTACCGGTCACCTAGAGGGAGGCGAGAGAAAGGGAAAACTGTGCATGCAGTCAAAGCCACATGTGGAGACAAAGGCAGGGCAACAAGATAAGGACATGGAGTACGACATGGAACCAGCAGGGGGCTCCCTCTCCAAAGACAAACTATCTTGATCTATATTCCAGCTAATAATCCAGTTCTGGGAGTCTATCCCGGGCATCACAGGGCACAAGGTTGGGGTATACCCGGGATGGGATGCCAGTCCATCACAGGGTACTGGGCTGGGTTACACTCTGGATGGGATGCCAGTCTATTGAAGACAATACATTATAATATATGTGTCATAATGACACTGAGTACCACAAATCATGCTAGAAAAAAGGCTTTGGATGTTAGACACGAAGATACAGTATGTTGGCAGTTGGTACATGTTACAGTTAATGAAACAGGCTCGCAGAAAGTTTAAGCTCATTTTTCTTTTCAGAATCCAAATTTCCTCAGTAGTGTGGAAGACTCATAGCAAACAAATATTCAGGGATTCTTTGATTTTTGTATTCTGCCCTTGTAGCATAAGGAACTTTACATACATTAATTACTCTGATGTATTGCACCCATTAGTTCGACAAACGTGTGCTGCGATCAGATGACATAACTGTCTGGAACCCATATTATTTTTCATAATGCAACAGCGACGCCTGCTGGTGCACAGATACACTACAGATCACTAGGGCACTAGATACTTAATGAGAATTATTTAGAATTGCACGTTTTTAAAAAGCTGGATATTTTACTTCAGCAGTTCAGGCGAAGAAACTTTCCCATATGGGTCCTACAACACGATGCCTCCAGGGACGTTAACAAGGAACCGCTGCCTCACCTAATGGAGTGAGGAGGTAAGTGGGTTTGTAAACACAGGACGGTGCACAGCCATGCGCGGAAGGGGTGCAGCGTCCTGTAGGGACTCGTCCAGACCAGGGTACCTCCTGAAGTCAGGACCGCACCCCCCAGACCTCTGTCAGGACAAGCCGGTGCGGGAGACGAGCGGAATGGGGGAAGGGGGAGAATTACGACACGGCTGGCGCTAGACGCTGCCTGAACCCGAGCTGTAACTGCGAGCGTGCAGCTGCTTTCACACCCGCTGTCGGGGGAAACCTTTCGGTCGGTGTGGATAAACCTCGTCCGCATGCTACAGATGACGACAGTGGGTTACAGTTAACTTACAGGAAGTCTTCATTCCCCATTTGTCCAAGTCTTCCATGTCCAGCTCCAATACTGAAGGGACATCGTCCTCAAACACGGGCCTGGAGGGTATGAACATGAGGGTGGCGGTAAATCAGGCTGCAAACAGATCAGTCCTGCAGAGTAACGCCAAACGATCACCCTGGCTGGAGACCTGTTACTATAATGGTCTGCGCAAACACACACATGGCCTTGCTATTTTACCTTTACCTATTTAACACCTTTATCCAACTGAGAAACAAAGTATGGTCAGACAGTCCTGTTGCAGGTATAAGAACCGCGTTCAGGCACGGAGCTGCTGAGCACCGAAAGACAATGAGGAAGAAACTCAGAGCGGAATTCGGATATCAATGTCGGACCCGGATTCCGAGATTAGTTATCGGCTGTCCAGCCACAAAACACCAATCAAGCTTTTCGGGAACGAGGTGGTAGCGATGGGAAAAGCCCAGTCACTCACTGGGAAACTGCCGCTATCATAGGATAATAATGGCAATTTAAATATTTTTATACAAAATCCAAAATCGTCGATACAGGAAAACGTTTTAAGCTATAGTAAGAAAATGTTTGCTGATTAATAACTTCCACAACATACTTCATGGATACATCACCTACGCTACACATATTATTTATACCATTTTATGTGGGAAAACCTCGAAGTATCAAACATGGACTTACGCTGGTATGTGTCCAGCAATGCAGTCATCTATGAACAGATCCTTCTTGTTTGCCCCTAGAAAGAACGGAAGCAAACGCACGTTTCCACGAAAAGCGTTACGGGATGAACTCGGAGCGTCATTATTTACGCTAAAGCCCATTTGTGCATCTCGATAGCCCAGGAGCGGGCGTCTCACCGGGGATCTCTTTCTTCTTGCAGCGCCAGATGAAGATTCCCAGCAGAATTGCGGTAAGCAGTAGCGCCATGGCCAGACCGGCCACGGCGGGCCACAGGGACTCCATGACCGTCTCCTCGGGAGCCGATGTGGCGTTGACACCCGATAAATACTCCGTCCAGTCAGCTGCGGGGTGAGGGAGGGGGGGGTTGATAATTAGTGCAAAACAGCGGGGACGCAGTTCACCCCCTAGCACGTCTCGATAGGCAGCTCAACTCGTCAGAAGACCGGGTCTGGAACAGAAAGCAGTGGGATTGCGTTTGGCGGAGGACGCCGAACACTGTGGCCGCACGTGCAAGGACGGCAGATGGAGAAGCGGGATTACCTTCGTTATCTCCTGCACTGCCCTCTCCGACGGCTGGCTCTGGAATTAAGCGGGTCAAACTTTACTGCATGAATTCAATAAACCCATGTGGCAAATTGTACACTGCTCAGAGAACGTCTGTAATCTTTGGGAGGACAAATCTCTCTCTCTCATACACACACACACACACACACACACACAATATACAACCAGTTGAGTATGAAGAGTCACAGAGTAGTCAACTGGTTGGTTGAAACAGAACCTTGGTCTGGATTTGTACTTTCCAGACCTGACCTTCCCTCCTCTGTCTGTAATGGATTACTTTTGTGGGTAACTTGCCTTACACTGTTAGTAGGTGATGACAAATCACCTCTCTTAGAGTACTGACTAAACTATGAGTAACAGAACTGAATTACAGTTTACTAACAGTAATACATTTTATGACTCCGAAAAGTATCACAACATACTGTAGGTACTGACAGCAGTTTACCGTCGGCAAAGAACAAGTCAGGGCACAGCTCCTGTGGGGGGAGGGGGGGATGGGTGCTGGGGCAACACAGGATCTGGAACTGCAACCTGGCTGGGTGTAAATGTGTGGGCTTTGGGGGGGTGCCCTTAGCTTACAGATTAAACATCCTGAGACCATCTCCACTGAACCATTTCTGACCAACACGGAATAATAACAAAAAGAACAGACTGGTGTTTTTGATTTTCGCTGCGTGAGCGGATCCCGGCATTGGGATCCCAGCGAATTAACCATTACGCTCAAACATCACTGCCTGCTTCATACACACTTTTCTCACAGAAGGCTCAGGTCACTACAGGGTCTTCAGACCTGTTATATCTTAGCCTCTTCTCTAGACCTCCAGGAATTTTGGACACTATAGTCATAACTTCATTAGTATCTCTTTTTAAAGTTAATCGCCTTAAAAGAAATTATAAGAGGAATTATTCATTTACAACTGAATTGTAAAAACATCTGTGAAACAAACATACAACAACACCAGGAACATGTTTACTTGAAGGGTTTAAGATACTGGCTCACCAACAATTTTCTGCCTGAAATTCCAGAATCGTAATGACTGCTCAGTGCAGTATATATGTTTCCTTTCTCAGTGCCCTCATTCTCTGCTTGTTTTCCTCTTGCTTCCTGAATCTCTATGTCTCCCCTCTCTGCTAAGACCTGCCACCACTATGCTACATGCTTCAGTTTGACTACATTCAAGGTTAGTCCAACGCGCTAATCAGATATCCCAAATTACAATGCTTGTTTCTTACTCACTTGTAACACTTTCCCAAATTACAATGCTTGCCTCTTACTCGCTTGTAACACGTACCTGCAGTCATGTCTGTCCACCTTGCTGTCAGCATTGCTGAGGGTTTGGAAGAGGCTGATTCCCCGCTGCCTGAAATCCCCGCCAGTCACACGCGTAGGGCGTCACACTCCCGTTTTCTCACTCAGAGTTGTGACGCTCGGTGTCGGCAGTTTCCGGGGCTGGGATTCCTGTAGGACAATGAGTGATGCTTTGGGAAGTTGTGCAATAATCAGAGAGCCTGTGGCCACAAGCCTGGCTACTTCGAAACCTTCTGCAGAAGTTCCTTCAACCAAACTATGCTGGAATCCTAATGACAGTAACATTTTGTGGCTAAAAACAGAAAGACTTTACCTCTATGATTTATAACAAGGCCGACATAATACTGTGTATAACTCCCCCCCCCCCCCAAAAAAAAAAAAAAAAAGTATTCAAATGAAGTTCGGAGTTCAGCTTCTCATACGTTACAATATGCAAAGGGATTTCCATGCAAGCTAACGTTAGCTACCTGCTCTCACTGGATGGGACTTTCATGATTCACGCCCCACAACTGGGCCCCATCTAACCAGTCACAACCTGCCTGAGACCGGACGTCATCGTCTAACCTTATTCTCCGCAGTTACTCATCCTGTGTTCCATCTTTACTGAAAGAGTGATTAATCTAATTCTGTAGTGTGGCTATAAAGTTTTGTGCAGGAAATATTCTATGGTTTCTTAGTGCTGTGCAGCCCTTGTTAGTCTTTGGGCTACATGTAGGATTCCTGGATCAAAAGAATCAGGATTTGGTTTGGATAGTTCAGGTGTTGGCTGGCTGTCTACTCATGATATTGAATTATGTATAATATCAGTAAAATAAGTGAGAATATGTCACTGGAATTGTACAACTGAAAGAGAAGCTTTGTTTTTTTAAAAGTACTTGTTAAAAATGAAAAATATAGTCAGCATGGTGATTTGATGGATGAATGATGGACGGATGGTTGGATGGATGGATGGATGGATGGATGGATGGGTTGGTGGAAGGAAAATCTGTTGGTTCATCTAATGACTCTCGTTATGGTTGTCATATAATAATAATTAATTCTTTATTGATCCCTCATAGGGAAATTCTCTTTGCACCTAGCCCACCTGGTGCTCTGTGACACGAATCAGCAGAAGGACAGCAGCTAACTTACCAATGGGATCCTGCATGAACACACATTCCCATAGCGCTCAGACATGAGCATGAGCTGCACCCTCGCCTGTGAGGAACACTAAAGCCTCCCAAGAGGCAGAATGGGCTGTATTCTGGAGACTGGGCTCTGGGGAACTAGTACTTTTGGTTGTAAATTTTAACTGTGGGCAGGCAATGAGACACTCTCGATATTGATGAACTACTGCCAGAAATATACCTTTTTAAGGTCTGACATATGTATACTAGCTAGGCGTATATGCTGTATATATGGTTTCAGCCACGGGATTCGAAACCTCTGATACGTATTTTATTTGCTGTAAGATGTAGTGGAGTAAACGTCAAAAGTGTCCACGGCTAAATCTACTTAAAGGGCAGATACGTGGAAAAAAGTACTTAAGTACAGTAACGATGATTGGCCAGAAGGTGGCAGGATTGCACAAATGTGCAGTTGCGTACTTTATTGCGCAGTAAATAAATTAAACGTTGTATAGGATTACATTTAAAACGTTAAGATTTCGATGAGTACAGTAAAAATATGTATTAGTGTTCACTGTTAAAGGTACATTGCTTTCGTTGAAAAAATTATGTGGCAGAATTCGTAAAAGAGCTTTTGTCGGGAAACATAAATATACTAGCCCTGTCATGTTTTGTCCTGAATACTTTTTTTCTGAGGTAAGAACAGCACTGGCCTCACTTAACCTAGTCGCTCTCTGCTTTAGTGCGTGTCTGAGCTAAGTGGTCCTTCTTTAATATGAACACATCCATTGTTCTTTCTGCATGTTGTGTTTTGACTCCCCCCGAAACAAATTCAGCACAAAGTAGGCCAAAACAGGTCAGACAGCTACCAAACGTAGGTTGTCTCATAACACCCCCACCCAAAAATAAGTACATTCACCTGTTAATTACAAAGACAGGATAACTGGATATTGGAAATCCCACCTAACAAGGTTGTTAGCGCCGAGTTTGCTGGTGACGGGGGTGGTGTTAACCACGCTTACGGATGTTCCGGGATGGATTCTGATTGGTCCGTTGGATTGGGGCTCCTCTCAGGCTCGAATGCAGTGTCGATACCCATTGTGTTGGCTGATCATTTGGGCCTATTGCCTCTTTCAATTCCAATTAGAGAGAAGAAACAAGATTACCCGATTTGCTAACACTGACTGGTAGAAGTTATAAGTGGTGAAAAAACAGCTCCATCCTGTCCTTCACTGCTCATGGGAGACAGGTATTAGTGATTATTAGTAATGTATTTGATGTAATTACATGTCTTAATAAATGTCCGGCCACAGTGTTGCGCTATAGTCACAATATACAGGGGCGGTTCTAAGATTTTTGGAAAGGGGGGGCGCAACCACTAGAGCGAGTGCCGTAGGCGCGAATCTCTAGGCAACAAAATTTGTTGTTCATGGAAAAATAGGGGGGGGCGTGCGGCGGGTGCGCCCCCCCTCTGGATCCGCGCCTTATATACAGCTTATGCTTGTGCTTATAACTGTGAAAGTTTTAACCAGGTAGACAAAGCAGGACATGCCGCTCTATGTAACGGTGTTTACGACTTGATTGTTTCTGTTCTTTAGTATTCAAAAGTGTTCCTGCTTGCAAACCTTGTGTTTTATGTGACGATCATGGTGAGTCACATTTAAAAACAGGATTGAGAAGAGCGGAGAAACTCGGCTAGCTATCCTGAATTGATTTTGAACCTTTTTAGATTTCATTCACAACTCACACCAGTACTCACTGGGAGTAAGGTCCATGCTCAACTAGGGGCACGAGTCCAGGGTTATTATTACATTAACTGGGAGCACATCAGAGTGAAATATGTATCACCTGGCAACCCTGAACTGATACATCACTAATGCAAACATGGTCAAAACTGCGTTTGCACCGACCGCATTGTGTCCGCGGATAAGCACGTCAGCCAAATGACCGAAATGTAAACGCGACCGTCTTCATCGCACGCCCCTGTTAGTCAAACCGCAGTTCCCCGTCTCCAGGCGACCGCCTGGGTCCTTTGTGATCCGACAAGGCACACAATGATGTCCCACTAACGTGACATCGTTAAACAGGCGACCCACGCCCAGAAAGTAAAGAGCGGCGTCCGAGGCACGCAAGCAGAACCGCCGCCCGCGGCTCGCAGCGCCGGGCTGGTCGTGCGAAACCGACTCTCAGCCCTGTGGAGGAATATGAGAGGGTTTAGTATACCGTTGCGGTGATGAAAGTGCTACTTAACGGTTCCAATAGGAAAAACCACGCAGGTTTTAGAATTTTACAGCAGGATCTAAAATACATTCAAGGATGCGTAATAAAATATACCAACAAATAAATTGGCCTAAAATAACATTAAACTTATTTTAATTGGACAGGGTAAGGCTTTGCAGTATGCGGTGTAATACCGCAGCTTCACTGTAGAGCAGGGGTCTCAAATTCCAGTCCTGGGGGGCCGGAGCCCTACACAGTTTTTGGTTCACCCTCATTTAACACACCTGATTCAACTCCTTGTGCTAATTACCACACAGCTCTTGAGCTGAATCATTTGTGGTGGAACAGGGAAAGAACTAAGCTACACAGGGCTCCGGCCCCCCAGGACTGGCACTGAACCGCTGAGAGCATAGTGGCGTGCTTTAAGGCAGGGGTCATTCCTGCCCTGCTGCCTGACTCATGATGATGTTTGCTAATACTGATGTAAGGTGCTCTGTGTACACAGTGGAGTAACTGATGGCTTTATCATTTCACAGGCTAGTAATCGGAGCTTTCAGTTCTCTGTCCATACTGGAGGCTACTCTCTGTCCATACTGGAGGCTACTCTACACCCTGCTGATTCCTTTCATACATGGACCTCGCTCCCTGAACAATGTTGGGGAAATTACTTACAAAAGTCATTTATTAAAGACAGAGGTGGAAAAGCTCAGGTCCAGAAAGTACAAATCCAGACCAAGGTTTTGTTTCAACCACCCAGTCGAGTTTACAGAGTCACCTGAATCCAGAAGGGCCAGACTTCAGCAATGCAGCACTGCAAAGGCCACAGGGGAGATGCGGAGATCAGACAAATGTTCTACAAGATGGATTTCATAAGCAATTCCATGTACTTCCTGTGCAGCCTGACCTCAAAGCTTGTGGATCAACCTCTGAGTAGTTTCTTGAAGCCTCCGCGCTGACCTCTCCCGCTAGCTGGGGAAAGATGCCAGTATCTGAATCACACCTGCTGTTCAGGCTCCGTTGCATAACCACCCTAGTGACCATCATTTTCGAGTAAATCATTCGGTATTTGCCTCTCGAACTCAGAACTGGGTGAAGTTCGGCTTTCAAAAAGGCATTAGCTTCACCTGTCATCAAACAGCGTCCAGGGCAGATATTTGGCGCCCTCATGGTCCTGGGGTACGTTTCATTCTCAGGAAATCACAGGCCAGGCTCCTACAGGAAACCCCCCTACCGTCTTCAACTGAGCTTTTCGGGGGGGGGGGGATTGCTTAAAGCTTGAAGCGTTGCCTACGCTGACATATGACGCCAATGTGCTAGTTTGTCAAACTGATAGCTGATCATTTTAGCACAATGATCTGTATTATAATTCCTACTCAGGAGTAACAAAGCCCGTCTGGGAGCCTCAACCAGCAGCATTCTGGGTCTATGCCCTGAGTGCCCCCCCTGGCACCTTTGCACATGCCTCCATTCGTGTTGTGACCCATAATTTCCAGCATGTTCCATTATGGCAGCGGCCGGCCACCTGCCACGTGACTCTTCGGCTGAGGAGTCGCAGCTGGTGCTGGGCTCTCGAGTCAGACTTTGCTCCCAATGCATCAGGCTGACTTCCCCCTCTCCTCGTCAAGCTGCCCCTTTGTCCTTATTTCCTGCGTGGGAAGCTACTTAAAAGCCACAATAAAAAAATAAAAATTCAAAGACAAGAGCAAATCCTCCGATTATAGAATGAAAGAGGCGCAGAAGGGGAAAGTGTGCATGCGTTACATGTACAAGAAGACACTGCATCAGAGTACTACAGAGTAATAA